CTTTATAAAATAACACAGACCATCTTGGACTAGAGTAATGTGAAGCAGCCATCTTAATTCTCTATGAAAGTGGCTATTCTCACCCGCCCGGAAGTTCTCGCAAGATCAACTCCTCCCCTCTTCTCTCTCTCTCTCTGTCTCTTTCTGAATACTGTCTATCGGTGTGGACGATCAAATTGACCAAAACAAAGTTTAAATAATGATGTTAAAACACAAAAGTAAATTAATTTGATTGTCTACAAAGATGCAACGGCTATTTAACTTTTCGAATCGAGCCGAACTACGCGGGTCGCCATTTTGTTTTGCCCGGAAATTCTCGCGCTACTCCTCTCTCTCTTTCTCTCTCTCTCTCTCTCTCTCCACTGCCCACAGACAAAATTGTACGCTTTTAGTAGGCTACAGTTGTAATGGAACGTTTGTTCACGGCACAGAATTCTACAATTTTTCTGTTATCACAGTGTAGAATTCTGTGGTTTAGGGTGAACGCAAAATTTGGTGAACGCGCACCGGGTGAGAATAGCCACAAGACTCGCCTGCACTATTCTCACTCCGGCCATTCTCTATTATATTCTTTACTCTGTATTCCGAATTTTCAACCAATCCTTATTTTCTGGAATACCCTTGCCTGGGGCAACTTCGACAGGGGTCTGTGCAAATTCATCGAGGGCAACTTCGACAGGGCCTGTGAAACGGACTTGTGGGCAACTTCGACTGGGGGCGGATCTTCAACAATATTGGGTTTATTTTCAACTTCTTGTGCCCCCCCCCCCCCCTCTTCTCTCTCAACTCTCTTCTCTGCTGAATTCTCTGTTTTCTCTCTCTCCCCCTGTTCTTCTCTTTCCTTGCTGCTCCTGTCTCCCTCGTGACTCTCCGAGTGTGCGCACACACGAAGACAAGCACCAGGGCTTGAATTAGGTGTTCAGGAGGGCAGGCAAAAATTGCCTCGGTGGGGCCTAAAAATCAGAGGGCACCGAGGCAATTTGCTATAGATAGAGGGCACCAAGGCAAAAATAATAGGTGATCATTTTGTTGATTAAAGTTGGTAATACTGTATCGTGCATCACAACGTTTATATATAAATAACAATGCAATTTATTCTTGCTCTCTACAAAAGTATAGTTATAAATCACAGTAAAATCACACCAAAATAAAAGCACTAAAAACCAGTTTTAAATCAAATTTATGATCACGATTGCATCTAACTTTTAAATACCTTTATGACTAGCTCTTATTGATTGGATTAATATTTTTATGAATGAATATGACTGGTGATAATAGGGCACGATAGAAAACAGTAAATAATATGACCAATTAGGTAAGCCATTAATCATTTGAGATTCAAACAGAGTGGTTTACAGGCAGTGTAGTGATAAAATAAAAACACATCATGGTAAATGAAAACAAATTTTGAACTTGTATGAAAAAGAAAAAATGAGGAGTGAAAACAACCTATGAACCTGTATGAAAAACCAAGAATTACTAAAAACTGCTGTCAAGCAGTTAAACAGTGTGTGGTCGCAAGAATGTAGACATTGGTACCAACGCAATTGAGTACATTTTTTCCCTATGTCGTAAACAGAAGAGTGAACAATCATGTCGTATACTATCCTTGATTTTGTGAGTGGTCCATGGCCTGATTTATAACTGATAACAGTAGTGATGTCATGATATAGTGATAACATAATACTGTTTACTTTTGTAGAGACTACGATCTGTTCCATTAGCACTTAGAATATTACTTAAGATAGACATTTTTAGGGAGACCTATGTTATCCATCTAGCGGGCTCATTATTTGGGTTGGGGTATGAAGCAGTTGCAGCGCTTGAATGAGGTAAAACTTGCCCTCATACCCCCCAAAATGAGCTTGTTATTTTCTTATATGATAATAAGACTTTGGTAATTCATACTTTTTTACTTGGCCTATTGATAGCCATCCCTTCTAGTCATAGTTATTTAACAGATCTCTCACTGCTAACCCAACCAAATCTGGAACTGGAACTGGTTTTCTAATCTTTTTTAAAGCCCTCTTATGTGTGACAAATATGGGTCAACTTTTAGCTTGATGCTGTACCCCAGCTAACAAGCTTATGTATGTTAGGGATGGGCAGGTACCGGTACCCAGTACCGGAACTCCTGGTTCAACCAAAGGAGGTGTCAGTACCGGCACCAGGCCCCCAGTACCAGCTCTGGGAAGGAGCTGTCCCAACAGTTTTTTACCGGGCCATGGGAAGTGTGCAGTGTGTAGGCCTAAGCCTAGCAGCTGTTACGTTAGATGCACAAGGCTTCGGGTGACCTTGTTACATGACTTCAGATTCAACATTGAATATCAAAAACCAAGTTTGCCTAAATCTAAATATGGCTTCGAATCAGGTTCCACGATAGCCACTTCGCTTATTTTGATATGCTGATTCGGAAAATGAAATCAATTTTTAGCAGCGATAATTATTTAAAAAGTTTTGCATGCAAGGTTTAATCCCGTGCAGCGGCAAACTTCAAGGGTATTTTGCATCACAGCTCGCCTCTCCAATTCTGACGTGTC